TTTTTTTTTTTTTTTATAAGAATACTATTTGTGTTCCGGTTATATATCGCAAGTAAATGTTGGATGTTTTTCGTGAAAACAGGGCGAGTTACACGTTTTCGACTTGGATTTAGTTACAAAGTTTTACTCGCAGTATTAGAGATGAAAGACGTGTTTTTTTTTTTCGTAATGTGAGCGATTTCTGATCTGTGATTTAAATTTTTATAATGATTTAGTATCCGGCGAATTGCGCTCATCAAGTTTAGTTATTATTGTAGAAAAGAGTAGGTTAAGGGAAAATCTATGATCTATTTACTTTGTATCTATTTAGAATGTTTTAAATGTTGTAACAGAATGTAATATTATGTTCCTTAAACGGTAAATTAATAAAACGGTTGAGTTTTATTTCTTGACCAAGAATAACTTGTGTATTATTGAAGATATGAAGAGAGACCCTTATAATTAAGTTTGTAATTGTTTTATATAAAATGCGACATATGGAAACAATTTGAGAAGTATTACTAGGCTTAGAAACTATCCAATTTGCATAAACCAAAAGTAGCTATGTATTCAGTAATAGCAGTACACTACATTTAATTCAAGACAAAAACTAAAAGAAAATGAGAATAGTAAACATTCATAAACTATTTCTTTTTATTCCAAAAGAAAGGAAACAGAAAGTACTGAAGTCAAATCAGAAAAGCAGATTAGAATTATTTGACAGGGTCAGATTTTGGGTAGAAGCTGCACTTGTAAACGTTTTGTTTCTTGTGTAAAAGAAGATTCTTCAAAGCATAGTTTTAAAGCGTTACTACCAGTTTTAAATATGAGAAATGAGATCTCAAATATCAAGTATCTAAAACTTTTCCTAACACTAAATTGTGGAACACTTGCTTGAGTAAATTAAAGGTATGCTTCTTTGTTTTAAATGTTTTCGATTTATCAATATTGAACAATTAGATTATGCAGAATAGCTCACTATATCATAATAATGTATTTTTTCGTGGTAAGTAATCATTATTTCCAAATTAGCTTAGAAAAACAATATTTTCTGTATTTATAGGTTATAAATTTGACATCTCTTTGTTTTCTTCTTCCCGTTAACCCTTGAGACAACGTTCATTTAACCCGACTTAATTTAAACCTTTTAAAAGAATTTTTTTTTAATTCTATTGTAAATACATATTTATTCATACCTGAGCAGCTGTAAAACAAAAAGCTCTTCGAGAAGAACTGAGTTTAATATAATTAATTACTAAGTAGTATTAATTCGATTATTATAAAATGATGTTTCATGAAGGGTCTTTAGACACATTCAGAAACGTCAATGTGACAGATAAGGTTATGTTTACATCAGAAAACGTGAAAAACTGAAAATAATTTAAATTTAAAAAAGCAATATGAAGTTTTCCTATAAGGTAAGCGCCAAAATAATATGAATTTTATTTTCTTAATTACATTTCTTCCCTTGACATACCAGTTTAGCAATTTACTGGGAACTGTCTATAGAAGAGGTAACATTATTTTCACTCCGGATGGTAATTCAGTGATTAGCCCTGTGGGGAATCGAATTAGTATTCACGATTTAAAAAGGTACCTTATCATATCATGGATATTTATTGGTCCGAATATAACGTTCTAATTTTAGTCATAAAACATCAACTTTACCTATCGAAAGCAGATACAACTTTGTAGCTCTAGATCTAAGTCCAAATGGCAACATTTTAGTCGCCATTAATGAACAAGGGGATGCGTTTATGATAAGTTTAGTTTCCCAAACTGTCACACACAAATATAGGTTTAAAAGAAAGGTGAATGCAATCAAGTTTAGTCCAGACAAAGGATACCTCTTTGGATCCATATTTTTTTCATAGCCACTTAGACTGGGGGAAGTAAAACGTTGCTGAACATCAGCTGGCCTTTTAATTCTATTAGGAGTAACAGATGCATGTAGTAGGGGACTTTCAAACCTCACTTGCTTTCGAAAACTATTGTTANGCCATTAATGAACAAGGGGATGCGTTTATGATAAGTTTAGTTTCCCAAACTGTCACACACAAATATAGGTTTAAAAGAAAGGTGAATGCAATCAAGTTTAGTCCAGATGGCAAACACTTTGCAGTTTGCAAAGAAAACAATGGTGTGTAATAAGGTTTATGTCATTAATTGGAGTTAATTTAAGTTTTTGTCCGGTTGTAGTGTTTGTCTTCCAAGCACCAGGTCCATTCACTGGCCAGTACAACGGATTTGTTATGGAAAGAGTTTTTCATAATTTTTATGATGAAACTACATGTTTAGATTGGTCATTTGACTCCAAAATACTTGCTGTTGGGTCTAAAGACATGTCTATTAAGTTATTTTCATTGGGAAAGTAAGAAGTACTTAGGCCATTACTGAATTAATTAAAACAAAAATAATTATTACTGTTTAGGTGGGACAATTTTAAGACCTATGCATTAGGTGGACATACTGACGTAATTGTGGCGTGTTTTTTTGAACATAAAAGCTATGATATCACCACAATCAGTAGGAATGGTCAGGCATGTATTTGGGAGTGTTCTATTGATCCAGATGGTTTATTACCATTTCAAGAGCCCATTCCAAAGAAGAAACAGGTGAATTAGCTATCGAATTAATTTTTTTACACATTTACAAAATGAATTTTAAAGAAACCCTCTCATGAACTTCAAGAAGACGACGTAGACCTTACCAAAGTTATTGAAAGAAGTGAAGAGGAAATATCAAAACATTTAAATCAACTGGATATTGATGATAAGGAAGAGAATGAAAAGAACAAGAAGAAAGAAAAGATGTACTATAAGAGACTTGCAAGGCACTATCTAGCAGATGATGTAAGAAAAGAAAGCAAAGATGCGGTGCTTACAGCTGCATCATACCACAAAGCAACTAAAGTGCTGGTGGCAGGTATAAAATCATTTTTTAAAATTATAGAATAATGTATTCCAAGTTTTTACTTTGTTGTAGGCTTTTCTACTGGCGCATTTTTTATTTACGAACTTCCTGAAGTAAGTCTTATACATTCTCTCAGCGTTTCGGATGAAAAAATTTCTTCAATAGCCTTAAATTCTACTGGCGACTGGATTGCATTGGGATGCGGGGGTCTAGGCCAGTTGCTCGTTTGGGAATGGCAAAGTAAAACTTTTTCTTTTGTATACAACGTGAACTGTAGCTGTAGTTGTTATTATTTTTTTCAGGTGAAACGTACGTCTTGAAGCAGCAAGGCCATTCTAATAACATGTCCTGTATCTGTTATTCCCCCGACGGTCAAATAGTGGTAACTGGAGGCGAAGATGGTAAAGTAAAGCTTTGGAACGTCACGTCTGGGTTTTGTTTCGTTACATTTAGCGAGCATTTGGCCCCTGTAACGGCCGTTTCCTTCAGCGGGAACAAAAAGTTTATTGTTTCCGCTTCTTTGGATGGTACTGTACGGGCGTACGATATAATAAGGTCTTTTATTATCTATTTACACCATGTGTAGTTGTAATAATTCATATTAATCATTCAGGTATCGTAATTTCCGAACTTTAACCACCCCAAGACCCGTTCAATTATCCTGTGTTGCTGTGGATAGTAGTGGAGAATTCGTGGCTGCAGGTGGTCAAGATGTTTTCGAAGTATTTTTGTGGTCTGTTAAGACAGGACGACTTTTAGAAATTCTTGCGGGACACGAAGGTCCTGTGGTAAGGCTCTTTGTTGCCTTTTTTTCATATAGTCTTCCCTAGATTATTTCTGAGAGGGATAATAATTCTTAAGACCGATTATTAAGCATAAAATAGAATTTCTTAATTGTAAATCCTTTTTTTTTTGTTTTTAGTGGAGTGTGGCGTTCAATCCTAATGTCACGAGTACGATATTGGCGTCGGTTTCATGGGACAAAACCCTCAGGATTTGGGACGCGATAGAGAAAGGGTCTGATCACGAAACGATAGAGCTGTCAGCTGACGGTTTATGCGTGACCTTTAAGCCCGATGGGGAAGAAGTGGCTGTTGCAACTTTGGATGGGCAAATAACTACTTTCCATGTGCGCACTGCCACCCAAACGGGAAGCATCGAGGGCAGAAACGACCTTGGTAGTGGACGATCTGATACAGATCTTGTGACCGCCAAGAAAACATTGGAATCGAAGTAAATAATTTGCTATTTCCACCATTGGCCTTTGTTATTTATTGTTTTGTTTGTTTTAAGGGCATTTACGAGTTTATGTTACTCGGCAGATGGCGAGTACCTCTTGGCCGGAGGTCAGTCCAAAAATGTGTGTATTTATAATGTAAAAGAGGGACTTTTAGTTAAGAAGTTTGAGGTCACTCAAAATAGATCATTCGACGCGGTTGATGTACGTAATAATGTACTGTATTGTTTTTGCTTATTTACTAATAAAAATGGTCTCGATTTTAGGACTTTATAAATAGACGAAAGATGACCGAGTTTGGTAATTTAAATTTAATCGAAGAACGCGAAGAGAACGAGGGTGGTAACGTGGCAATAAGATTACCAGGCGTTAAAAAGGGTGACATGGCTGCCAGATCATTTAAACCTGAAGTATATCATTAATAAAAAGATAGCTCCTAACTAACTAACTAACTAACTAATTAATTTTTAGGTTCGAATATATTCCTTACAATTTTCTCCTACTGGAGAGGCATGGGCTGCGGCAACGACCGAAGGTCTACTTATTTATTCATTAAATTTGGGGCTTGTATTTGATCCGTGGGACTTAGAGGTCGCCATCACCCCAGATGCCATTAGGCAAGCCATTAAAGATGATCAAACTAACGGTCAGTTAATTTATGCACTAAAATAGTTTTCAAAATAATCTTACTCTTGTCTCTTTCAGCTTTGGTAATGGCAGTTAAATTGAACGAGGCCGGTATTATTCAAGAAGTTATCGAAAATATATCAGTAAATGATGGTAGGTACAAGTACTTAATTTTTTTTAAATAATATAACTTTTTTTAATTACTTACAGTTGAGTTAACTTTAACGAATTTGGGAGAGAAATTTGCCGAACGATTGCTGATTGTAATAGCAAGTGCTTTGGAGAGTTCGAGGCACTTGGAATTCTATTTGGTTTGGGCTGAGCACCTTTTGACCATCCACGGTCCGAAAATTAAGTCCCAGAAAAACATGCCGGGACTTATAGCCCTCCAAAAGGGTTTGACAAGAAAATACGAGGAGTTATCAAAACTGTAAGTTACCTAAATAAAACTAATGTACACGTAGAAAAATTATTGTAATTATTTTAGGTGTGACTTTAACACGTATACGATGCAATGCATTCTCAGAGCTAGTGCTAACAGGCAGGCTTTAGAAAAAGAAAAAGCTAAAGGAAATATAGAGGGTGAAAATGAGACGAGCAGTAGTTCGGACGAAGACGAAAATATAATGATGTTCAATTATGACTGAAATGTATTTTTTTTAATTGTTAAATAAAGTTTTTTATAACACGATAATTATTTGATGGTGTTTGAATTAAAACCTATTCGGCCAATTTGTTTTAATTCAATAACTATAAATTAATTTGAACTAGTTCTTCCCCCTAGCACCATTGCTTCGAGTGGTCGAAATTCACTTTTGTGAACAATTTGTTTAATTACTTTCTTTGGGTTAAAAATTGTTTGAAAAATTAAATTTAAAGGAATTATTTGTAAATAGGTATGCAACACTTCGTACACTTCAGTATAAGAAATTGCTGATATTGCATAATTTCTTTTATATATTATATTAAGTTTGAACAGTATACACCACAAAAACGTACAAGACGTTATTTTAAAATGATTTGATAGTGTCATGTAATTAAAGAGATTAAAAAAAAAGTAACAAAAATAATCCTTGAATATTTTTATTACAACGCGATACAGTAATGTTGTAGAGTGTTTTTATTTTATTACTTATCTAAGTACTAACAAGGGCCAATAAATGGACATGAAAAGTATGAAGAAGGCAGGAAATATCGATCTAGAGAATCGATCTATTTCACACCATAATATCTTTTCTTCTCCATTTTTCTAAAACGAAGCACTTTGCTTATAAAAACAAAGACAAAAAAATATAATAAAAATTACATTGGTCCAGGATAATCGTACAAAACCCTCCCCTTTGCACTCCCGAACCTTTTGATCATTTCTATTAATGTACCATGGCGTCATCGCAGTCTCCTTAAAAAAGTACCACTTTAAAAAGCAACTCTCTTTAATAAATCGACTGATAAATTATTACTACCCGACTGTTACTATTCCTCTGCTTCTTCGTCAATTGATAATTTTCTTGCAAAACCCTAACTATTATAAATTCAGCCAGAGCTGCAAAAACGAACAGCATACAGATAGCCATCCACAGGTCGAGTGCCTAAAAATGTAACTGGTACCCGATTTCTACTTTTTTTAGTGATTATAATTGTAAAATACTTTAACGTATGCAACTGGCGGAATATCGGTTCTTAGACCGGTAAACATCGTAACCAACGTCAACATGCATGTTACCAAAAGGGTTACCCTTCCGGGCACAGCGTCTAATCCCAGCCAAAAACTGGACCAGGAGAGCATAACTACCAAAGTCGATGGGGCAAAGGTCTGTATCAAATGGTGACCTATCTGCCTTTCGAATCGAAAGTAAACAACCAAACGAGAAAAGTTTCCTAAAACGAAACCAATCTACTACCTGCACACCTATTTTTAATTCGTCATTTTAATACCCCCTTTCTCGTTGGTAAACACGTTTTGCTCTTGCAGCTCTAAGGGTTGTCCGATGTGATACTGAAGCAGCTTCAGTTCAGGGCTCACACTCACCCCGGCACTGGCCCATTTTAAAGTCATCTTTTGATTATTGTACGTAACTGATGCAGACAAAGTTTAGTTCATTTAGGTACCTATTCCTAGTCTAAACGACTTACAACTTTCTACGTTCACAGGACACGTCTGGATGTCCATGGGATAATACAAAAATTCCATCTGGCAGGCCACGATGGCATGCATCCTTGCCGAATAATGGACAGTTTTGTTTTTGTACAACGAAACAGACGAAAACTTATGAGTCAACGTGGCAATTTCTATAAGTTTTATAAAGGTATTTTTCCGTTTAATGAGTGTACCGTACCATCAAAGTACATACCTACAACTTTAGAGTTCAAGAAATAAAGGTCAGGTTGCCACAGGTCGTCCAACAATTCAGTGGGCAATGTTACGTATTCGTCTTCGTTGTCAAAAAGTTCTTCGGGGATTTCCAAACGCGAATCGACCCATTCTTGCTTTAAAAACATGTCCATTCTATAAATATTTTTTTATACCAAATTATCTCGTGCAAAAATCCCTAAAGAGCGATTTAAATTACCGAAAATCCATGTCCTCTACATTGATAGAGTTGATATCAACGACGTTCATGCTGAATTTGACTTCGACAGGTTTTCCAAAACGGGTCGGTGGTCTGACCTCTACAAAAACAGAATTGTGTGGACGCTTGCGATATTTTAACGCACATATTAGTCAAAAACCTTTCACGTAGTGTCTTGGGAAGATGGTCTTCGAATGCGACGAAACATCCTGATATAATTGCGCAACTGTAGCGGATTTCAAAAACGAAACGCTAAAAAGTTTTTATCGTCGCATAAGCCAAACATCAAAACTAGATTTATTTCTGTTGCTTATACTCACATTTCGAAAATTAAAATTAGAATTGGCCAACTCATTTCGTTTTTGCGGAAAAACTGTGAGCAAAGCCTGTTGCTCTTTTGAAGAAGACGCGTTTGTCGGTATGTAATTTTAAGAAGGCAATTTTTCAATTTACTCGAAAAAATTACTACTCTAATTAGCATTAATTGCCCGTTGTTAGAAAGATAACGTTTCCTCAAATTTCGTCTATCAATTGCTATTTATTTTGGCCAAATTTAAAGGCGCACAATGGAGTACAGCGCATATAAGGGTCGTGTTACGTTTGACTGTAGGACAGAACATTTCGAAAAAAAAAAAAAATTAAAACGTGCAAAATTTTTAATCGACTAACGAATAACACACAAAAAAAATACTGACTTAATTTATTAAGTCGTCTGCCTCCTTGTTCTCCGTCGTGGTACCAGCAACAACCCCACTTGATGGTGGTACATATTCCAACCTTCTTTCGCTGTCTTTCAGGCAGGTTCTGTATAAGCAAAAGTGAACCAAAGCACACAAAAATGATCCTATTGCAAACAGACTAAAGGAACATCTACCACCAAATGTTTTATACAAGAACCCTCCGAGTAAACTACCAATGGAGTAACCTGTAAGGATCAGTTAGCCGAATGCCTGTTTATTATCGACAAATCAATCAAAAAAACTCACCAACCCCATCGTCTAACCCCGCTACTATACCTTGCGTTGTGGCAGACATGCCGGGTGGAGAAATTTTATTAGCATAACTGACTATAGTGGAATACATCAGGCCATAGGTGGGTCCTTGCATTACATACTCCACAGGGACGATCCACCATGGCGACTGTACCAGAGCAATCAACCCGAACCTTACGCCGTAATTAATAAAACAAAGACTCATACAAGTTTGGTAGCCAATTTTATCCAAAATTTTACCTAATATTTAAAATAGATATTATCAGACCGTACAAATTGTACTAATGAAACTGACCAGCGATCGCAAAGAATAATATTTCGGTTCCCAACGTTTCTGCGGCAACCACGAAACCTTCCACAACTTTCACATTAGCTGTTTGCGCCTCCAGGGCCAAATCTTCCACGTACCACAGTAAGAAGTATATCAAAACCCCGTCCAAGACTCCAGCAATCGTCACGAAAACAAGAAACGCAGTTGTACTTGTCGAGGACAGTAATTCTCGCAAATCTTTAACGATATTAGTTGGAGGGTCGATATTGGGTAACTACAATAAAATGGGCCCACGTTAATCCTGATTAGTTCACCACTGAATCGAATCGTCTACACCTTCAATTTGGTACACGCAATAACGTCGAGAATTATAAATATCGTCATGACTATGAGAGCTGGGGTGTACGATTTTGCCGGGCCCGGTGACCACCAGTCGACCGCAAACCCCGAGACCATTGCCGCAAAACCCCACCCGATGGTACCCCAAACCCGTTGCTGTCCGTAATCGTGGCTGTCACCTACCATATCGAAACAAACAGCGTCGCTAATCGAGTTCACAACATTAAACAGAATGGTCCCAGCGGACATCAAGAGAACAAAGTACCAAAAAGTCGAATCAAACTCGTCGTTTGGAGTTGTTTTGGAAGTTTCAACGTCAAGATCTTCACGGCATTCCAAATCGCAATCAAATTCACAAAACGAAGACGAGTTACGAAAAAAACAAACGTCAGAATTTTGGCTCAAACTAATGAGCCCCTTGAGGGTACTGATACTGTTCTTGGTAGAATTGTCACAAGAACATATAATATTCCTCATGGAAAGATTACTATCCTCCTAAAAATATTGCAGCGTATTTATTTGAGTTTAGGGCCAAAAAATGGCACCGCCATCACTTACAACTGAAATGGAAAGGTTGCACTGTTTTAGTGAACCACATGTTACGTTTTTAATTTCGAAATTACTGAGATATACAGCCGGTACGAGGCACAGTGCCGAAAATGATAGACTCATGGCGAGTATGATCGCTATAAAAATGACCTTGCGGTATACTTGAAACGCGTCCACCAAAACGCCAAAAGCAAATTTGAAAAAGATGAAAGATAATGGTAAGATTGCAGTTACAATTCCCATAACCATGGCAGAAATGCCCAGTTCTTTACCGTATACAGAGAGCTGAGGTAAAATCGGCCCCATAGCTAAAAGTACATACCAAAAAAATGTATAAATATATGTATCTNCGAGACTACGTCCTAAAGGAGTTCAGAAATGGAAACAGCAACATCCTCGTGGCCACGGACGTGGCGGCCCGAGGACTTGGTGAGTATAAATGAAAAAGGTAACGTGGACAAGTTTAGGACACAGGAAAACAAATACTAATTCTTATTGTATTTTGGTACAGTTTGTGCGCTGAAACCGCATAAAAAAAATTACCGGAAAAAATTTTTAAATTATGGGTCAACCCAGACTTTATTTTGGCACAAAATAACCTCGAGACAAATTTAGATACATAAAATATTCAAAAATTGCTTTACTAACTTGAACCAAAAAGATATTTAACTAATATAACGATATAATTAGTTTATTTTATAAATAATTGTATTACTTGTTTACCTTTTCATTGTATTGTTTTTATGATATGAGAAAAGGTTGTTTTTGTGCTTTGTATTGTATCACTTAATCAGTCTGGTTGTTGTCCTTTTTTTTCAGAGGCACGAGCGAGATAATAAAGTGTTCCGTGGGAGTGTTTTAATAATTCAACTACATTCCTATCGGACTCTGGCAGGTCTTGCGGTGCCTCTTTAACAGACAACGAGCCGAATATGGAAGAATTTTGTTACCTATTTATTCAGAGTGATCTGCCTAGGTGTCCATTATGTGGCTTTTGTTGCACACACAACAATCTCCCTACATCTACCCTTGTCAGTGCACCTGATATTTGTTTGACTCACTTTTTTTTTTCTTTAAAGTCCCCATCTGTGAACATATTGTCCTTTTTTTCTGCACCCCAGTTTGTTTAGTAGAAGCACTTATTAGCTTTTTCTTATCAATTATTTTTTACAGTTGTAAGTGCACTTAAAACCTATTTGTTGTTCCACTCCTTTTTATTTTCCAAATCTTTCTCCCTTGTAACCTTATTCTATCCTACACACTTAGCCTCCGTTTTTATCGTCGTGGGAACATTTGCTATTTTAATGACAGACACTGCAGCCACTTCGTGAGGGGGTTTCCACCAAGTCTTAGGGGGTATTATAGAACTCGGGGCTTCACTGAGGGTTCGTTAAAAAAAAAAAATAGACAGTCGTTCGTCTGTACCAAACTATGATGTTTTTCTGATTTTAATACAATTCGATTTGGATGATGTGTGTGACGGTAAAAAAATTCTTTCTTTTATCTTATACCAAAACAGATGATCCTTGCCTTCATTGTAATTAACTTTGTGAACTTGTTTCAAAATTTTAATCAGCAATCGATTCTGAATCTATTTGTATTAATTAAGCCAGTGAAGAAGGAAATTAAAATGCAGTTTGCTGGCTTGTTTTGAAAAGTTTTTCCTAAAAGTTCCTTTACTTTGATGCCTTGATGTTTAAAGTTGAGACTTCGATTTTATTTTTAATGTTCCACCTCTCTGTAGATGTTGACGGTGTCAAATATGTCATAAATTTTGATTATCCTCATTCATCTGAGGATTACATCCACCGCATCGGTCGCACTGGCCGATCGGGCTCCACAGGCACATCTTATGCCTTCTTTACACCCTCTAACTACAAGCAGGCCAGAGACTTGGTAGCAGTTCTGAAGGAAGCCAACCAAGTAAGTTCTTCCCCTAATTTCTGGTTTAATAATTTTTGTGAACGCATTTTTATTTTTAACAGGTAGTTAACCCGAAATTATTAGAAATGACGAGCCGTTTTGGTAATAATACAGGTGGTAATAAGTTTTCTCGTTGGGGAAATACCGCTAAGGGAGGTTTTAGATCCGCTGGACCCCGCACAAACAGCCGATTCAGTGCCCCTCTTGTGCAAGTAAATGGATATGGTTATGGATGTAAGAAAATATAGCAAACAATGTAATTGATTTGTTTTGAACTAATTAAGTTTTTTTTTTCAGCATAAAATCCTTATCCATCCGTCGTGAATTTTTTTCATACAAGACATTTTTTAATTTAATATATTTAGGATTCATTCCGTTTTCTCTCTCGTGTATAGTTCTTTTTTTTTTTTTATAAGAATACTATTTGTGTTCCGGTTATATATCGCAAGTAAATGTTGGATGTTTTTCGTGAAAACAGGGCGAGTTACACGTTTTCGACTTGGATTTAGTTACAAAGTTTTACTCGCAGTATTAGAGATGAAAGACGTGTTTTTTTTTCGTAATGTGAGCGATTTCTGATCTGTGATTTAAATTTTTATAATGATTTAGTATCCGGCGAATTGCGCTCATCAAGTTTAGTTATTATTGTAGAAAAGAGTAGGTTAAGGGAAAATCTATGATCTATTTACTTTGTATCTATTTAGAATGTTTTAAATGTTGTAACAGAATGTAATATTATGTTCCTTAAACGGTAAATTAATAAAACGGTTGAGTTTTATTTCTTGACCAAGAACAACTTGTTTATTATTGAAGATATGAAGAGAGGCCCTTATAATTAAATTTGTGATTGTTTTATATAAAATGCGACATGGAAATAATTTGAGAAGTATTGCTAGGCTTGGAAACTATCTACTTTGCATAAACCAAATGTAGCTATGTATTCAGTAATAGCAATACATTAGATTTAATTCAAGACAAAAACTAAAAGAAAATGAGAATAGTAAACATTCATAAACTATTTTTATTTTATTCCAAAAGAAAGGAAACTAAGTACTGAAGTCAATCAGGAAAGCGAATTAGAATTATGTGACAGGGTCAAATTTTGAGCAGAAGCTGCACTTTGTTTCTTGTGTAAAAGAAGTTTTTTCAAAGCATAGCTTTAAAGCGTTACTATCAGTTTTAAATATGAGAAATGAGGTCTCAAATATCTAATATCTATTACTTTTCCTAACTAAATTGTCGAACACTTGCTCGAGTAAATTAAAGGTATGCTTCTTTGTTTTAAATGTTTTCGATTTATCAATATTGAACAATTAGATTATGCAGAATAGCTCACTATATCATAATAATGTATTTTTTCGTGGTAAGTAATCATTATTTCCAAATTAGCTTAGAAAAACAATATTTTCTGTATTTATAGGTTATAAATTTGACATCTCTTTGTTTTCTTCTTCCCCTTAACCCTTGAGACAACGTTCATTTAACCCGACTTAATTTAAACCTTTTAAAAGATTTTTTTTTTTAATTCT